TCCTTTTACTAACTGCCTGTTCATCGTACAGTACTTACCTATTATAGGTGCCTAATTTTCCTGTCTTAGAGCTTAGAAAGTGAAAAACGTAAGTACTTGTAGCAAATAATTCATCAGGGTACAGAAGTTTACATAAGTTATACTTTGACGCTAAGACATCAAGAGCTCGCGCATTGTAACTCACCCATAATAAGCTATAAATAGAGTCACTGTAGATCCACGTTGGCGAAAGATTCGCAAGCGTAAGGACCCAAATAGTGGTTTGATAGGCAACTTTTATACAACACTTTTTTGAAATGGGTTGAACTAAATGGAAAGACCTTTTTATGACCCCACACCCTTGCAGTAGGCGGAAACCAACATTCTAGCTGAAAGTCATAGGTTTGATAGACCGAGAAAAACAACAACAGTACTACAACGAAAAATGGTTCCAACCCCGGCACTACCCAAAAAGTGTGGTGGCTTTTGATGTGATACGAAAATTGATGGAAAGGACGGGCAAATCTCGTTGGTCCAAAGTTTCCACAAGATAGTCGAAGAAAAAATTTAGCAAACAAGTGTTATAAAATGTTCTTAAATAATGCTTCAAGCATCTTTTTTTTTTGTTCATTCGTAACCACACAAAGAAAATATGGACAGCTTAAACATTCACATGTTTAAAGGCGCGATATGGAAACTTTTGTAGGAGAATCACCAAGTTCACGCAAACTACTAAATTCTCCCTCAATTATTGATTTCTGAGAATCTACAATTGCCATTTTTTTCTGGAAATTATTTCAAGTAGGATACAGCAAAATCGAAAGCTTTGAGCATTTGGGGCACTCAGTACACCAAAAAGTCACCGAAAAGAAGATGCTGAACCTTCTTTCCTAGAAAGAAAGCGTTGGAGCCAGAACTTTAGAGGAACAAGCTCAACTATAAGAAATATAAATTTTAAAAAACACCACAATCCTATTAAGTGTTAATTAGTGCTCCGGTTTAGAATTTATGGATGAGAAGATGAGATGTAAAAAGCGTGATGTCTCATACTTTACCAGTAATTCGGCCATCTCGAGGAGAAGCAGCTTTATTCAACATTCCAGACTCGACCATTATGAGAGACTTTCTGGGGAAAATTTCCAGGCAATCAAATGCCAAAATTTTTAATTACTGCAATTAATTCTCCCATTTCCGCTCTCACCTGACTAAGTCATGTCTTTATGAAATATCGTCTACCACAATCTGGTTTATTAATGTACATATAAGATCCCAGATATAATGAGGAAGAAGTACAAGTCACATATGAGACCCCGGTATTGAGTACAAAGTCAAACCAACGAGCCATGATATTATGAATATTACAACTATTTCCGTGCTTAGATTAGATTTTCGATCAAGGATGAGTAATCCGTAAAAAGTAAGTCTTAAATTAAGTAGGAGATCCGTAAATAGCATGAATCCAAGGCTATGGTATTCTTTGTCCTCTAATCGGATGAAGTATACCAAAAGTATGTCCAAAGTTGATAATGAGCCTTTTGTAGCCTACTGTTCAACTGTGAAGTGCCCCGATGGCCA